CCGGGGAGTCCCCGCCGCCGCCGAGCCAGCTGGATGCATCCTTCGTTGCTACCGCCGCCGCCCCAGCCACGGTTCGAAATGTGCCCGCCCGGCTCCCGTAGCCACGTCCCACCGGCGACGCGACAGCCAATGGGCGTTACGATCGTTCAGAGGCCACGCCCTCTCGTGGAAGCCTGGACGCGTTCGCTGTGGGTAAGAGGGGAGGGCTGGAAGCCCGTGACGTAAGCCGAGAGTCCAGACCGGGGCGGCAGGAAGGCGGGGCAGGGAACGATCTTAGGAGTAGACGGTGTCGTGCATGATGGGAAATGTAGGTGTCGAGCGAAGAGGCGGATGGGAAATGGAGTTCTCCCTGGAGAGACGCTCAATTTGGGTCGCCGAGAGCACGCGGGAACCAGGGAAGGGTGTGGAGCAGGGAAGAAGAAGTCCATTTGTATTTCCGAGGGGCTAAGCGGAGTGGAGCGGGCTCTGCCCTTTACAGTTTTGGCAGATCTTAGATATTAAAGTGAATGTTTAGAGTGAGAAAAGAATACTCAGCAAGTTAGGGGGTAAGAACCAAGATGTCTGTAGGAATATCTCTTTACATATTCCCCCAGAAAATGATAAAAAATGCTTTGGGTTGCGACCTGGTTTTCCCAGTTCTCCCAAAACACTTTACATCCCCCAGCAACTCACAGCACACACAGGCACACCTGCAAGTGAGAAGCCCGGAGAATTAAGCTTCTTTAGTCTCTCCTCTCTTTGTCGTTCAGTATCCCCATGTATCTCACTCGGTCTCCCCTTTCTCTCCCCTGCAGCCTCCCATTTTCTGTCCCACACTTTCCTCCACTATCTCAGGCAAAGATAACGGTAGAAGTGACTTCTGGGCAGTGACAGCACTCCGGAAGAATGTCAGCAAGTGACTGTCACTGTGGCTTTCCCTTTCCTCCCGAGGCATTGCCTTTTCTGGGGACCTTGAGGACTGTTCTAGTCTCTCAGTTATGAGTCCTGGCTTAGTCGCGGGCTTTCTTTGTGAGTTGTCCCCATTCCTCTTCTGAACCTCTGGTTTAGCATCTGTCCTTCGGGCTCCATCACTATTTTTTCATCTTCTGAATACTTTTATTAGTAAGCAAGTATTTTAGCTTTGTGTTGCCTCATGTTCACATGGTCACACCTTACCAGTTTTGTGACTACTCAATTGTTAAGCCTAAAATTTCTCATCTGTTTAATGGCTAATAGAGGAATAATAGAGGAGGGGTTGAGATACAAGCTCATGTGTCCATAGGGCCTTTGATCACTGGCCCCTACTGTTGCTGTTGTATTATCAGGTGTCTCTTCCTGTGAGTTCTAAGCCCCAAGTTGGGCTCTTTCCCAAGAGCTGCCACAGTTTTATAAATAGAACCATCTGGGTGTGTCTGAACTGGTCCCCGAGCCCCACTCCTTTGCCAGTCAGATGTGGTCAGGAGTCGGGGCTGCCCTCCGGAAGGCAGTCAGAGAGGGGGGTGTGGAGAGGGAGCAGGGAAGCAGGGAAGCAGAGGGAGCAGGGAAGGAAAGATCCCCCCCCTTCAGTGAAGGTATGGATCTGTGATTCTGCCTGGAAAAGAGACCCTGGCTCTTTCCTGTTCATCCTTCCTCTCTCACTTCAGATATTTCCTTTCTCCAGAAGCTCTTGGTTTCTCAAAAGCTGCGGTAGTTGCCTCCTCTGGGCATCCTCCATCCCAGCCCTGGTCACTGCCTGTGCTGCTTTCTGGGCTGTCACTCTGTTGAAGTGCTGGGAGCCCCCTGAAGGCAGGTTCCAGAACTGTCTTGGTCACTGCTGTTTCCCCGGGATCACTCAGCAAAGGGTCGGGCACAAAGTGGGCACTGAGCAAAGATCTGGTGGAGCTAAATATCCCGATTCTGTCCGTAAGGGCACGAGGACACCTGCCCCTGTGGTGTCCTTCGTTGTGACTTAGACAGGCCTCCCCACCGGTGGACGCAACTCCACTCCAGAGCGCACGACTTGGCGAATGGGATGAGGGCTGGATGCCAATTTGTCCCCTGGTCCCCTCAGCCATGCACCCTGATGAAAAGCACAATCTTGTAGCCCAGCAAGATGGCCCGGAGGAGTTGGGGCGCGACTTCTCGGTCCTTGAGCAGAAAGGAGAGTTCGGACTCTTTCTGAACAAAGGAATCAAGACGCCTGGGACGCAGAGAGGGAAAGGCAGAATGCCCCACTCTTTCCATCCGGTTAGTCTCCTGGGTCCCGGAGTGCTGAGCTCCACCCTCTCGGTGTTAACACCTGGCGGTGGGGCGTGCCTCAGTTTCCCGGAGGCGGGGCGCTTCTCCTCCTTCTCCTGCCCCTCCCCTCCCCTTTCTTCTCGGGTTCCTCTTTGGGGAGCTGGAGGCCGTGCTTCGAGCTCCCGGAACTAAAGCTGGGCGCCCGGCCATCAACAGGCGGGGGCCACGTCAGCGGGGC